CTTTTTAGCGACGTTTTTTCTTGCTGAAAACAGTAATTTATTAAACTACCCGTATAAATTCAAAATAATTCCATGAATTTTAGCGCATGCGCATATAGAGAATATTAGCGAATGATGATAACAACAATTTAATTCTTCAACCAGGCCATCTTTCTCTGAGAAGTGCTATTTATTCCTCGTAGAATAGGTTTAGTTTGAAAAATAGTAAAAATCTCTGATCTACAGTTTTTATAACAAGTTAAATATTTACTCTCACTTCTGATAAAAACACTCAATATTTTTTCGTCTTCATTTTTAAAATTTTATAATCATTTTGAAATAATCGTTTTCCAATTATTTTTATGTAAAACTAATTAAAATCTAAAAAATAAATTTCAGGCGCTTTATTGAGAGTTATGAACACAAAAATATAAATATTTACCTTTTCTCAATATTTTCCATTAAAACAGTGTTTTTATATTGTTTAAATTCCTAGAAAAGTCTTAAAATTCATTTTATTAAATATATATTAAAATATGCACTGAAAGAAGCTTTATATTTCAACATGTATATCGGGATTCAGACAATAACTCTGAAAGATACACTCATTGACAAAATTTAAGGAAGTTGTACCTTTTAGCATGTATATCGGGATTCAGACAATAACTCTGAAAGATACACTCATTGACAAAATTTAAGGAAGGTGTACCTTTTAGCATGTATATCGGGATTCAGACAATAACTCTGAAAGATACACTAATGGACAAAATTTAAGGAAGGTGTACCTTTTAGCATGTATATCGGGATTCAGACAATAATTCTGAAAGATACAATCATGGAAAAAGACTTGAGAAAGTTGTACCTTTAGCATGCATATTGGGATTCAGAAAATAACTCTGAAAGACACAATCATGGAAAAAACTTGAGGAATTTGTACCTTTTAGCATGTATATCGGGATTCAGACAATAACTCTGAAAGATGCAATCATGGAAAAATACTTTAGGAAGTTGTACCTTTTAGCATGTAATATATTGGGATTCAAACAATAATTCTGAATGATACAATCATGGAAAAAAACTTGAGGAATTTGTACTTTTTAGCATGTATATTGGGATTAAGACAATAACTCTGAAAGATACACTCATGAAAAAAAAAAAAGAGGAATTTGTACTTTTTAGCATGTATATATCAGGTAGCAAGGTCGAAACTCTCGCCGGGTTTACTTTTGATAAGACCTGGCCCCATAATAATTTCTTTCCATCCTGGTTGAATCATTATGGTTTCCATTAACATAAAGTAAACAAATTTGACTACTATTTGCACTAAAATTATTCTCTTGATAAGTGTTATCAACACAAAAATTGTATAAATTAAAAAAATATATACTTTAAATATTTTTTTCTTTTTACCTTTAAAAGTTTGATTAAAAGTTAACATGGTTCTGTCTTTGCTCTAATTCTTATTCTTCAACCTTCAATTCTTCTTTTTTTTACTATGTTCTGCTTCTATGACGCGTAACTGCCGAGGCTACAGCGTGAATTTGTTAAAACCCTATGTTGTTACTTGAAATACAAAACCTTTTGATACCTTGAAGTAATATTTTTCTAATTTGTTTTTGGTTATCATTGCTTCGTCTCTAATACCAACTATCATTCATATAAATTATATAAATATTACTTATATAAATATATATTTTAAATATAATTAAAAAAGGCATATATTGGATCAAAATATCATTTTTTACCAATAGTTCAGTTGGCTGAACGCCAATATTTATCACGGGATTATAACATATTATAGGTATTATATACAAGGTGTGTCCAATAAATAATAATGAGACCGGTCAAAAACAAATAAAAAATGAAATGATATATATTTTTAAGTCTATTAAAAAAATAGAAAGCTTCAGCTACACTTCGGTATATCACATCACGTGATTGCGCGCGCAGTCGATAAATTGTAAGCTTATAAAAAGAACGCCTTGCATAACAACTTCTAATTTATAATGGATAGAAAATTCGAACAACGAATTTGTATTAAATTTTGCGACAAAATCGGCTTCAGAAACTTTAGATTTTTTTAAATTGGAATTTGGAAATGAGATTGTAAATAAGCCCACCACATTTAGATGATTTTCACGATTTAAAAATGGAATGGAATCGGTGAAAGATGAGAAGCGTGTTGGACGTCCAATTCTGCACAGGAACCCTGAAAAGGTGAGCCAAATTTCAAATTTGATAAAAGAAAATCCACGAATAGGGTTACGGGACATTGAGTAAGAAACAGGGATATCAAAATCATTAGTTGGATCGATAATTAAAGAAAACTTACAGTTAAAGAAGACACCTTCAAAATTTGTCCCTAAAATTCTCACAATCCAACAAAAGGAGAATCGCGTTGAAGTTGCCAAAAAATGCTTGAAATGGTGGAAGAAAACCCTAATTGGATGAAAAAAAGTAATAACTGGAGACGAGACATGGGGAGGAAAGGAAAAGATGAACCAAGAACGAAGAAATCCCGATTTTGCAAGTCAAAAAACAAAGTCTTATTGGTCACGTTCTTTGACATAAAGGGAATTGTGCATTATGAATATCTAGAGGAAGGTCAAACAATCAATAAGGAGTCTTATTCAAACATTATGAGACGTGTACGTGAATCAATTCGTCTGAAAAGAAGTGAAATGTGGAGTTCAAAAAATTGGATTATCCATCATGATAATGCACCACCACACACCGCTACATCTGTACTGACTTATTTGGCTAAACACGGCATCCAAATACTTCAACACACACACACACAACCTCCCTATTCCCCAGACCTAGCTCTAAATGATTTTTTCTCTTTCCAAAACTCAAAATGGCTCTAAAAGGAAAGAGATTTGACAATAGAGAGTCCATCATAGCGGATTCGAAAAAGGTCTTGAAGAACATTCCGAAAGATGCCTTTTTAAAATGTTTTAAATCATGGGAGAAGAGATGGAAATTATGTATAGATGCGGGAGGGGACTATTTTGAAAAATAGTAATAAAAATATTTTTAATCATTCAATTTTTTCTTTATTTTTGACCAGTCTCAATATTCATTGGACACACATTGTATATATAAGACAATGAATCAACTCATCATCGTTAGCTTTTATCTTTTCTTTTTTTTTATTTAAATTCAAAGCGCTTTGTCCCCCTAGGGACACTTGCGCTGTTATACATGTATGCCTTTACATTTGTCTATACATTTAGGCCATTAATAGAATAGTCATATGATGTTAACAATGAAAAAGAGAGAAAATAAAAAGAGAAAATTTGATCAATTCTTAGAAATCAATCCGGGGATTCCTCCTATCGTAAGTTGAAATAAATTATTTTCAAACAGAAAAGATAGTAAAATTGTGTGATCGGACTTTTTATATGAAAGGAAAATAATCGTAAATGGTATTCTTATTTTAGAACAAGAGAGAATCAATTTATATTTCCGATGAGTGGAAATGAAATAGGTTTTTAAAATATGTATATCAGAAGATGAAAATCACACACAGCTCTGCATATAAAATACACAAATATTTCCTCTCAGCGTGTAAGTAGAAATTTCCTGAGAGGTAATTCCAGAGCTAACGCAGGGCCGCGGGCAATAATCTGAGTGGAGATTCAAATGTAAATGTGAAATATTTCAATACGCTTCTTTTATTCTTGTATATATATATTATTAATCGCGGTATAACATCTGTAGAAATATATATCTTATATTCGGGGTGAGGAAATAAAAAAAAAGTAATCAATTATTAAGTAATGTTTAGTTGTCGAATGCAAATTTTACTTACAAAAGAAAGAAGAATGAAATATCAATTATTAGCAAATATTCTTATTTTATTTTAAACAAATTTAACTATATAATATTTTTGGCAAATGTGTTTGTTAAAAAAACACATTTAACCAACCCAAATGAAAAAAACAAAACTATATACAACAGAACAAAAATAATAATCAAAAAAAGCTTTTTTGTTTTTTTTTTGTTTTTTGGTCAAATTTGAAAAAAAAAATTAAATATTATAAAAAATTAAATTGAATATAACATATATACATATGTTTTTGAAAATAGAGCAATCCATAAATAAATCTTTAATTAAAAATGCATATATTGGATCCAAAAAGCATTTATTTTACCAATATTTCAGTTGGCTGAACGCCAACCTTTATCAAGGTATTATAACATATTTATGTGTGTCAACAACAAACTCAGCGCCACATAACGTCAATTGAATTAAGTTTTAAAAATATTTTTGCTTATATATATATTCAATAATTCAAATTTATATTCAATTTTTTTCTCTCCCCATTGAATATAAGCAAAAATATTTTTAAACTTAATTCTATTGTCGTTATGTGGCGCTGAGTTTGTTGTTGACACACATTAATATGTTATAATACCTTGATAAAGGTTGGCGTTCAGCCAACAGAAATATTGGTAAAATAAATGATATTTTTATCCAATATATGCCTTTTTAATTAAATATATATATATTATGATATATTTGTTTGATATAGAATTATTATATATTTGATGGAGCTTATTATTTTTTGGATACATAAGTATTTTATGATATTGTGTTGCAGTCGTGGGAAATATAATAATAAAATGAAGGTTGAATCACGATTTACTTTAATTGAGTTGATGAAAATAATTAAGGAAGAAATAAAAGATTACATATTTACATAAATACAGAAAGAGCCGGCCAACGGGAAACTACAACAATGGGTTTATATAGGGAAAGCGGCGACGTCTGGCGGTCGACTTTACAGAGTAGTTTGTTCTAGGAATTATAATTTTCACAAATAAATACAATTTTTATATAACACATATAACATATATATTTTTTAAAACGACATTTTAAAATTATCCCGCATGTGTTTCTTTGGAACGAAAAATCTAAATTTATTTTAAGGAGAAATAACGATTATTTCTAATTTCAGGGATGAATTATGAAAGGATGAATTGTGAAGAGTAATGATGGACTGAAAAATAAAAGTTTCTAGGGATGGGAAAAACGAACCCACAGTGTTCCGCTTACCGGGCAGATGCCATGTCAACTAAGCTACCCTGGACATATTTTTCCGTTCTAATTCTAACAGTTCTAATTTTAAAGATGCACAGTGCAAATCTATGATTCAGGGTAAAATATATACAAATATATCTTTAGGTATATCACTTGTATATCATTAGGTAGGTTTGGAAAATATAGGTAGAATTGCCAAAGAATACACACTGAATTTTATAAGATTTCGATTGAAAAACCTATTAATGTAATGGTGCTAAGTTTATCTTTGTGTGATCAAATGTTTCATTGATATCCTCGGATATTTCATCTTCTGATAACCTAACTGTTCTAATAGAAGACCATCAGACCTGTCGAAATATATTGAGATACCAATAAGATATTTGATCCAAGCTCGTCATTGATAAAGAAATTCCTATGGATTACTCTGTATAGTTCACATAGGAAAGTATGTATAAGTTATGAAAAAGGCATCTCCTTATCGTGCGCTCCTTGCGCCATCTATCGGAATAAATATCAACTATTTTTGTTGATTTTTAATTATTCCAGAAATGGCCAAATACCCATTTTTGATTAATTATTTGTTCCGATAGATGGCGCAAGCCATCAGCAACTTTCAGTGTCACGATAAGGAGATGTATTTTTCATAATTTATGCATCTTATCCCAGTACAATATCACATTTGTTCCATTGTTTCACACTATGTATGTTGTGATTATGTGTCCAGAGCATCATCTTCCGTGTGGAGAAACACCCCGAGTATCCCCACTTCAGCCAGTGCGTGAGCTTCTACTTCTTCACGAAGGAGTGGCACAAGACGGCGTACAACCTCTTCTGTCTGCTGGCGTTGTACGGCGGTCCTCTGTCTGTCATTGTCTTCTGCTACTCCCGCATTCTGTGGGTCATCTCGCGCCGCTCTCGGGACAACCAGGGTGGGTGTCTTCTTCTTCGTATACTGATTTGTTTATAGTGTGTGTGTGTTGTGTTGTGTGTGTGTGTGTTGTGTGTGACAATTAAAACATCTTTATTGACTTCTTAGTCAATAATTACAGAATAAAAATTACATATTTACAGTCAGCCAGGTAGTCACCGCGATAGTGTGCAGGCGATGACCTCGATGGCCTCACCCAGTCCAATCTGAACGAAGGTAGATTCTTGACTTCGCCCATGCGAGGATGGCCAGTGTGTTGTGTGTGTTGTATGTGAGTAGAGAGGAAGGCTTACAAGGGGATATTGATATATAGGGGACACTTAAACATAGATAAATTATACCAGCGACCAGTTTCTCTATTCACAAGGTAAAACCTTGTTGAACTTTCAAACAATAGGTGTTTAGCCTGTTGAAGTATGTTATTCTCTGAAATATCACCAATATTTTACCTTTTCAATGAAAATATCCATTGCTTTTATCTCTCTTTAGATATCTGGCGATTCCCCAATTTCAATAGGGCCCATCTCAGGTTTAAATAGACGAGAAAACTTAGCGCCATTTATCGTCTCCGCAAACTAGTGAACTCAGGTCGGTGACAAAGCACAACACTGGCTTTGGTGAATTGAGAAGCACCCAATTGAGTCTATTATTTTCAAGATAATGGCCCGCGTTGGCACAATTTTTTATTTGATCTTTTTAAATTTCATGAAATTAAAGACCGACATGGATTTATGAGGGCCATTAGCCCTAAAACGTGGTTTCCAGGTGAACTTTTCTCAATTTTCCATTGCTTTGTGTTGTGGATACGTCACCGAACCTAGTCCGCTAGTTTGGGGAGACGGTCAATATTTGGTTGTTAGTTTGACGGTTTAGAAGTGACTTTTATATACCACGTGTGTTCAGAGATTTGCTTGTTTACTTAGAATTTGTTTCCTGAGTTAATGCCGTATTTTCAAATTATTTGGGAACTTTCTTTCTAGCCATTGCTATTAATGATTTAAAAAAATACATTCATAATATATTTAGAAAAATACATCTCCATTTTTCACAATCATAATATATGTTATCAAAATATATTCCAAAGGTTTTTTACTATCAGGTATCTCTAGTTGGGTTTGAAAATTATTTGCTGGTTGGAAGTTGTCTCGGAAATAGACACAGTCACATCAACCAATGACGCTGTATTTCAGAAAACCGTGAATATATGTAAGTAGAACTAGGGTTCAACCATTCCCCTGAAGAGAATGGCAGGAAGTAACTGAAATGTCGGGAGTTGAACTATTGGTTGATGTGGCTCTTTTCTCTCTGGTTGTCTTGTAAGTCAGGATCCCGCGACCTAACCCCGGCTGTGGCAGATGACCTGACCCCGGTGGGCACGGGGCAGCGCAGGATGCGGCTACGCCGGAGCGACATGACGCACATAGAGCGTGCACGCGCGCGCACGCTGCGGATGACGATAGTGATCGTGCTAGCGTTCTTCCTGTGCTGGACGCCGTACGTGGTGATGGTCCTGTGGTACCTCGTCGACCCCGACACCGCGCAGCAGCTCGACTCCCGCATCCAGTCGTCGCTCTTCGTCTTCGCCGTCTCCAACTCCTGCGTCAACCCCCTCGTCTACGGCAGCTACGCTCTCAACTTCAAGCGGCTCATGCGCCGCTGCTTCTTCCGGACCCGCGTGGACGAGGAGACGTGCGCACTGTCGCGACAGCTGTCCCGCCGCACCGTGCTGTCCACCCGCACGCCCATGAACCGCACGCCCACGCCGCCCAAGCCGCCCAACCCTGTCTCCAACCACGTCATATGCATGAACAGCCTCAAACGAATGTCTTAACCCACTCTGGGCTCCATGCCTTATTTTGTTGCCATTTGGTTTTGACGTGCCACCACCACCACCAGATTTGACCAACATATTGAGGTGTTCAATCCATTCACCACAGATCTCCAGTCTTTTATATTTTAAGATTTCCGCCCAACAGTTACAGATTTGAATCACCGCTGGTGATATGGACTCACATGATAAATACTCTTTTACAATGACTATTTATATTATTCATTCCATAATATTTATCTATTATGCATTTCCTTTAAGAATACGTGACGCGGTGAAACAAATAAAGAGTCACACAGGCATACGATCGTTGAATAAAGAAGAAAAATGAAAAGACTTCGGGGTTAATAGTATATAAATTAAATTATATCAAACTTTTGATAATGTCTATCCGATATATGGCTTTTATTTGCCATCAAAAAAGATAATTTGATCGTCAGAGAAAATACCTACTCAGTTATATATATGCCAAAAACTATATGAATATAATAATTATATATATATATATACAGTATATATATATCGTGCGAAAGCATAGAGGCTTTGAATTTAAATTTCAACTTGAGAATGTTTCTATAAAATTCCGGATTATTTTTTTCTTCTTAATTTAAATCATAATTTTAATTAATCCCTCTTTTTAAAAATATTATTTTACAAATTACCTCAAAGTCACCTATACATCCAACAAAATTTATTTTTACGTAGGAAAAGCTTAATTAAAACATTTTTCTTTATTTTAATTTCATTTTCTTAATTAAAATTACCAGAGATTTCATAATGAGTTTCCACTTACCCCATTTTAATATCTCGTCTGCAACTTATTTAAAGGGAAATCGGCCAAACACACAAAGCTCTTCCAACGTTAGGTACCTGGGCAGGTGGGAATTTCACATAAACAATTTTACAAATATCTGAATTATGTTTTTTTTCTATGAATATAAAGTAGAAATTCTGTTTCAATTAATAAAAAAGAAACAACTTATAAAGCGTCATCTATATTCTATCGTCGCAGAAGAAAGTTGAAATTTGTTTTATGTGCAAAAGATTCGTTCTTCAATTCTTTCATTAATAAAAAAGAAAAAATATTGATCAAAGTTCAAATATATCGTTGAAAGTTCATTGTGGGTATATTTATTTAAGTCTGTTCTGAAGGAGTTTTTAGTTAATGAGGGAGTTTTTAATTAATGGTTTTATTTAATCATACAAACATTACAATTATAACATAATAGCAAGAAAAAATAATGGGAAATACAGCAATCAAAATATACAGGGTGATCCAAAAGTCCCGCACTATTTTAAAAATTAATAACTCCGCGAATATTTGCCCTAGAGCAATGTGGTAAACACCATTGTGTTCAGGATGCAATGGGATTTTTTATGGCAAATAATGAAAAATTCGAAATTGATTTTAGTTACAATTTTATTCGCCAGATGGCGCTCTACCAGAATCAGAGATTCAGCGGCCAAATTGTTTGATAAATTGAAAAATATAACTGATCGACACGTATTTTTCCTTTTTGAATACCAGGAAAGAACCCTAATAATATCAAATAACAAATTGATAAAACACCACTTCGCCAAAAGTATGAAGAATTGGTTAACGATTTTCAAATACAATCAGAGATATGTAAAATAGGTAAATGCAAATTAAAACATGTAGCAAAAATATTTATATTTTATATGGGGTTTTGTGAAATAGATTGAATGTTTGAAAAACACTGCTGATATCAATACACGAATTTTTGAAATGTTAATATAGTACCAAAAATTATGATGGCGCTATTAATAGGATTTCTTGCTATAAGAAATGTGTAGTTTCTTGACTGATTGGCGACCCTTGACTATTTAACTGGATATTTGTCATGATCCAACAAATGAAATATAGAGGGGAGTGACAAAATATATTTGTCGTACTTTATTCCAAATATCCTATGGGCTTGTCAAATGTTATCATTGTTTATTATACTGTACACAATTTTAAAAAATGTGTCCTCTCAAATAAAAATAATTTTTAAATCGACCTTTTGCGTTTAAAAACGTGGTAGTAAAATCATTTTGTATTATTATTTTTTTCACAAAATTTCTAAAGTTATTGGTGTACAGAAAATATTCCTTATGCTATTTCTTCTAATGAGCGAAAATCGAAAACTAAACATAAGGGGAAAAATTGTGTGTACCAGTATTATTCGAGAAGTTATAACACTCTGGTTTGCACGACATAATATGTGAGCAAATGACAAACAAAATATTACTGTTCACAAAAAAAAAGAGTCAAGATGTGAGGACAGCA